TATATTTTATAAATATATTATTATATGTATATTTTTAATTTAAATTAATAATTTAATTCAAATATATTGTGTGTGAATAATATAATATTTTTTCAGTTATCAGAACAAAATACTTTAAAAAAAGATCAAAATAGAGACATGAACGGATCAGTAGAAGTTTTAACCAAGCAAACAGTATCTCCAAAGTTAAAAGATGAAAGTGATGGCTGGCAAACAGTAAGAAATCGTTGCAGAAGAGGAAGCACTCATAACTTGAATATGTCCACACGCTTTCATAAACCAAGTACTGCTCTATCTTTGCCAGCTTTATCAATAGAAAGTCCATCAGAGAAGCTGAAGAAAAGTAGTTATACTCCTGACGGAAACAAACAAAAGAAGAAATGTATTGTAGGAAAAACTGGCAAAAATATGAATAATGAAGTTGAGAAAGTTAAAGGAGAATATATAACATCTACGATTAAAAGTAATATTGAAGACACACTTAAAAAGAACACAATAAATTTGTGCGATACTAATTCGACATCAGTAATCGCAGCTATCTTTAAGAATGATGCAGAATTACTTGAGAAACGTATACAGCAGTTTATGACCGCTCAGGCAGAGAGAGAAAGAATTATTCTAGAAGAAGAGAGGAAGACAGAAGAAGCAGATTCTCAAAGATCTCAGCAGCTATCAGATGAAGAAGCGTCCTTAAAACGGCAGATTTTAGAGTTGGAGTCCACTGAAATTGATGTTGACACTGAAACAGATGAAACGGATGGTGAAATGGTTCTCGAAATGGAAGACGAACCTGCAGTACCGCTTAGTGTGGTCACTGATGATATTAGTTTAGAAGATAGGTATGTAAAAACTATTAGTGTATTGTTAGCATAGTGTATTGTTTAACGTCTTGATAGGATTATTAAAATTTGTTAACACAATGAATGTTATAGGTATGGAAATATGTTAGAAGGAATGTCTTGGGCGGAACGAGTCGATACTCTTGCACAATTGCGTGCATTAGTAGCTCGCCATCCTGGACGTGCTTTAGAACTACATCAGAAACTTTCATCTCCATCACGAAAAAGATCGCTTCCTGAAACATTAAGAAGATATCAAGCAAAACAAGCATGTGCTCAACATAAACGTCAAAAGCTACTTATGGAGAAATCGCAACGGTTGCGAGAATTATTGAATAAAGTGGAAGACGTCAAAAGTGCAAAGAATCAGTTAATAGAGGACAAAAGGATCAGAATGGAAATGAAACTTAAGAGGGCAGAAGAAAACAGAACACAACATTTATTAGAAATAGTAAGGAAAGCACATGATGAAGATTCGAAGTTGAAGGAAATAGCTTTTATCAATGAACTGGAGGCACAAAATAAAAGACACGATTTTATGGCATTATGTCAAGAACAAGAAGAGAGATTACAGGTATATATGTGTGTCCCCAAAAAGATAATTTGTTTTTAATAATAAAATTAAAGAATTCAAATTTTTTTTTTAAATCTATAAAATTGTATATAATATTTATAACACACACATATTATTATTATATTTTTAACAAGTGTGAGGTTTACTATGTAGGGTATTCAAGAAGAACGTCAACGGCGACAAGAGGAGAAAGCTGCCAAAGAAGCTGCAGCTGAAGAACGTCGAAGAGCTTTGGAGGCAGAACGGCAGTTACGAATACAAAAAATGAAACAGGCACGACGAGAACGTGAGGAAAGGGTTGGCAAAATGCAACTTGAAAGAGAAAAAGAACGACAAGTATGTAAATTATTGGTATATCATCAAGAAATCTTCATTTTTAGAATTTTTAAAGTTACCAATTTTAACTTTGTAGGAATTAGCGAGAGAAAAAGCACGAGATCGCGAAGAACGCTTATCGGCACTTCATGCAGCTCAACTAGCTAATCAAGAAGAGCTGCAGAAGAAAATAGCGCAAAAACAGCAAGAATCCGCTAGACGGCATGTAGAAAACATTGAGCACATTCGGCAACGTGCAGTTGAATCTTCAATTTTAAGATCAGAGGAAGTGCCACCTACTCTCAAATCGTATCCTGCTCAAAAACAATGTTCTCTGTGTGGCACAATTGTAAGCTTTCTGCATAAATACGCATGATCTTTTTTTTCTTTTTAATGAGACTGATTGTATTTGTATATTTTACAGATATCTAACGAAGTACATCTTCTAAGTCATTTGAAAGGAAAGACGCATCTTGAGGCAGTACGAAACGCGCATGATAACCGCGAGCCATCGCGAGATGAACTTCAGCGTTTTAATATTGCACAGATACGGGACGTTCCTGTCACTATAGTTAATAATAATAACGCAAATAACAACAAGGCTGCGAAAGAGAAGCAAAAAGCATTGAAACGCCGGTGCAGAAAGATAAAACAACGTATGAGCTCACGCGGACAGGAATGGGAAGACAAATACAAAAGTGAGACTAATCAAAATTTATCTGTCGAATCGGCCAATAAAGCCAAGTTTCGGCGCAATTTGAAAGAATTAGACAGATTATATAATAATCATTCCAAATCAGCATGGTCAAACATAGCATTGGCCACTTTGGAACGCTGCTTAGGGGAAATTGTTCGAGCATTCTCCAAATCGGTAGGTTCTGTAGAGATAATAATATTCTTTCCATTCTTTACATAACTTCAACATAATTATGTCCTGTTTATTTTATTTCAGTGTCCACTTGATCAAGATACTTTTAGATATTTGAATGGATTTGACACTTTAACGAATTTATTGAATTTAGGTTTAAATATACAAAATGCATCTCACATTTTACCGAATAAGTAAGTAATAATACTATACATTAAGTATAATAAACTTTTTAATTAATATATATTATGAGATATCTTACACTTGTATATAAAATCTTTTAGAGTAATTGCATCGTTGTGCCGAGTGTACAAAGCAGGGGTCAGTGGAAATACAGAAAGTACAGAAGCTATTTTATTAAGCAACAAAATTCTTGTTATATTAGATCTACTTCTACAACGTTTGGAGGTAAGTTCCTATTTATTTTAAAGAAACCAATAATACGTGATTGTATGATGTACTCTTTGATGGTTTCTAATTTCAAATTAAAAAAACAAATGATTCTAAAGCTCAATATTTCAATATCTGATTAATTTGTAGTTAAGCTCAACCTGATGTTTCATCCAATGACATCATCACAGATTAAGCCCATTTAAATAAAACATCAGGTTAAGTCTAATCATAAGTTAACCAGAAAATTAAAAAACCGGGCCTAAATTAACTGTAGGCATTATATTGATCATATATATTTCATTTTTTCCCTATAAATCATACTCTCGATATTTTTGCGTTTCATTAATATATTTTTCAATTCTATTACATCAACGCCAGAATTGTTAAATATTACTATATTTATTATTCGATTGGATTTTTCTTCGTCATATTAATGAATTCTAAGGCGCAATACCTTTAAATATTTAATAATAATATTTTAAATTAAAATGCGAAAAATTAGATTAGATTTCGGATATTATCTAATTAGATTAAATCAGATTTCAATCAGGTAATTTTAATTTTAATTTGCTTTGTCCATTTTGATTGAAAGCTAATTTTCAATTCGTAATTTTGAGAATAATATCGCTTAACCAATAATTAATTAACTGAATTGCTCAAATCAAAATTTTATTATATAATTAATTATTTTAACCTAATTTAATGTTTTTTTTCGTGTGTCAAAAAATTAATGACAATAAATTGATAGTTTTTCACATTAAGATATTGTAAATATCTTACTTGATAAATTACACACACACACACACACACACACACACACGCGCGCGCGCGCGCACATTAGGTGTAGTAAAAAGAAATCCATTATTTTTCCATTCAATTTCATGCAAAAATAATGGATTTTTTTTTACTACATCTAATATATATATATAAAATATATATAAAATCGTCAATTAAATTAATCTGAATTTGATTGAAGTCAATCACAATCTTCAATACAAGTTTCATGTTAATTTTGAGTTTTTCTATAAGAAATTTTTGATTTTAGCAAAATAGAATTGTTCATTCTGAATATAACTTCATAAGTATATTATATAATATAAAGTGTAAGTCGGTATCGACAGTATTTTGTCTGGTAAGTGCTGCCCTCTGGGAAGAAGAGAACTAATTTATCCGAATAGGAATCTTTGAATCCAGTTTTCAAAATATTATTTATATTATAATTTAAAAAAGAAGTAAAAAGAATTAATTTTCTAAATGAATCAGTTTATCTTAATTTATTTTTTATTCGTGTTCATTCAAATATGATCACAGCAATAATAGTTCTTGTTCTCATCATCAACATCAAAAAGCATCAACGAGCTTCGGATCATGGTTGTAATTTGGCAATTTCTGTAAATTAAATTTCAGGGGTAATTAAATAGACAATGAAATTCTATATTTACTTATACAAGAAAATTTTACCCATCAATTTTTATAGAGATTGGTTTATTAAAAAAAGTGATGTGTGGAATCATATCATAAATAAATCTTTAGAAAAATAGACGAGTAGCATTATTTGCTTATTTCCATCAATTCCATCTGAAGGTCTTACAAACAAAAGTTTATTCAATAAGGACGCGAGCCAAAGTACACGGTGATATCCGCGAACGAGCACAAACGAACATAATGAGCATCATCTTCTAAAGCGAGCTAATATGTTAGATAGGCATGTAGATTACAGCTTGTTTTATCTCTTTCTTTTTCCCTTTTTTACTTTCTCTTTTTTTTATCTCGTTTTGAGGACAAGAAAAGGACGGTAAAGACGACGTGTCCCTGTCATCCTGTCCATTCTGTCCGACTTGTCAAAATAAGGATTAAGAATCTTGAGGATTCATGATTTCACGTCATGCGGTTGCCTTTCGGACTCGTTTGAAATGTCACGTAGGCACGTATCGCTTCCTTGATAAATAAAAGAAATACAACATACTAATTTCGAGAAACGTACTTGAAGTTTGAATAATAGAAAAGCAAAATATCAATCCTAATAATAACAATAATCGCATTCGAGCAATACACTAAATTTGCATTTATTAAACTTCCACCAGCAATGTGGATTTTTGGATTATAATTTGCAATTTCGAATATTTTGTGAATTATGTTGTCTGACATATCTCCATAAAATTGATTTTTCTGAAATTACATAAATGAAAAATGATATAAAACACTGAAAAATCCATTTTAAAAATAAAATTTTTCTTTATATATGTACTTATATTTTTCTTATATTTCTTATACTTATGTACTTATATATTTATATTCTATACTTATTGAAATTAGCGTGACGAGAAGATATGAAACATGAAAACATTCCAAATTTTTTACATTTACACAGAATTTTATGATTTGTAACATGAGTTGCTGAAGATACGACTTCTGTTCATCAATGCAATAAAACCCAATGAATACTGACGTCGATTGTATACATAAGCTTAACTATTAAATTTTTAAAGAGGTGATACCGAATCTCGCTCTGTTCATTTTTTAAAAAATTACAATCAAAACATCAACGTGTTTTTAAAAGACTCGGCATTATCGATGGAGAGTTAATCATAGTACTGATATTGATGTCGATTTAAATAGTTACAGTAGTGATATCGTCAAACGTCAATAAAAAATTTTTTGTATAATAAAAAATTCATGAATTAAGCGACTATATAATTGATTGAAATTATAGACATTTTTCATCTCTGTGCTTTGACATTATTATTTTTTGAAGGCTGTCTTTCCGAAATTTAGATCATCATATTACTAAGTCATATTACTAAGAGAAAATGTATACTTAAAATATAAATTACACTTTTTAAATATATACATATATTTATCCTTTTTCATCGGATTCGCGGTTCAATTAATTAAAAATATTTGATCACGGCTTGGTGTGCGCGGTTAGTAAAACAATATGGTTCGGTTTAATTCGATTTACATGCGTCTGGCGTTGTGTCATTTTGTATATCTACATGTCGATGAAATATTGAGTGCTTTATGCAGTTAATTACAAAACGACAAATATAATTACTGCGATCGATCGTTATTTTTTGTTCCATTTTGCGCAAATGCGCGGCGTATATCTCTATGCAACAACAAGAGGAGGACGCGATGAAATCTATCAAAGAAGTATAAAAAAGTCGTTATACGAACTCACATTCATTTTTCATGCTTTTATCTGGAATTTGTAATAGGACGATTCATCTCTCTCTCTTTTTCTCGGATTTTTTCCCGTTATTTACGTGGCCACAGCCGCATCTCTCTCGTCAGTGCGAAGATTCATGCTTTCAACCGTATGGTGGTTACAGCAGACTTCGCGCGTTACCTTTTTTTCTTTTCCTCCAGCCGATCATCTCGTGGCTTCGCCAACGACGGGAATTCATCGGCGTGATTTCGCCATCGGTTCTTCACGCTCCATAGATACGGCACTGGCGCCACCTCCTTCCTGTCCCCTCTTCCAAGGATCCCCCTCCGCAAATGCATTAGCGGCGAGAGAGCTTTTAGTGACGTCACCCACATACAGATACGCACGCACGCACGCACGCACGCATCACGCGCTCGTTCACGCTCACGCTCACGCGCGCGCGCATACACGCACAACACGCGCGCGGATGGAGCCCGAGTTGTACAGAGTGAAAGGAAAGTCCGTCCACGCGGGAGAACGCGTGTGCGTAGGGTACTTCTGTTTCCACTTCCATCAAGCCCCGATTTCGAGGACTCGGCCTAATCTTTTGTCTCGTCCTCCTCTTCCTCCTCTTCCTCTTCCTTTTCCATTGCCGTCTATCAGAGGCGCTTTTTCAACGACCTCTTCTCACGTCCTAGAATACGAAATGCGCGCTGCAATTTTCCAGCTGCCGCGTCGACGATCGACGAGATTTCACGATTTTACGATATCATTCGATGACGGATGATATTCGAATACTTGAATCTTTCATCGGATGGGAGGAGGAGTTCATTCGCAAAAACAGCTCCGAGAAAGTCGTAAAATATCCTCCACTACTTCATACGTGTTTTAGAAAAATGTCCGTAGTATATGTATCCTTTTTTCTACTTTTACTATAAGATAAAACATATAAAATTTAACTACTTTTTTCTGATATAAAATTTCTGAGAAAAAGATACTTCAAAATTTATTTGTGAGATATAATGTTTATTCTTGAAATAATCTTTATATATTTTAATAGGAAACTGTTACTTTTTGCTATCCTAGTAAACAATCTATTTTATTTTTTTTACAATTACAATTTCATAGTTAAATTTTTTTATAATCAATAAATATGGAAGAAAATGTCATTTTCAATTTTTTTTTCTTAGTGTAACTACATTTTTTATGATACGTATAAACTATTTACTCAATGCTAATATTATTTTTGACTCTCAAGCTGTAAAAAAAGCTGTCTTAGTATAGTTTGGTTATCACAATTTATAATATGTTGAACAAGTTTTATCGCAATTAAAATTACATATTCAGTGCTTATCAAAAAAAACTATAGGAAATTACTTTCATTCTTGTGCTCGAAAAAAAGCTGTCATTTTTTGTACAGTGTAATTAATAAAAATGAAGGTTTGCTCACTTCTATTCTGTGTATCGTTATTCTTTCATCACTCATTTACTCCACTCGGACTTTCTTTCTATTTTTATTAATGATAACACGTGTAACACAATAGTCAAGAAATACATGCTCGTTTTATCAACATCTTATAATAATTACAAAATTCCGTTCGGCTTAAGCGGATATTCGGAACGAATTCACCTGTTTTATATCGGCATTTTACTCTTTATTGCTCGTGTTTTCGTATAGGCAATCGTGTAGCTTCGTTTATCGTTAGACCGTACAGTATTATTGGTCAAGCTTGTCTCCATATGCGATTCGGGATTCTCGAGAAAATGGAAGCGAGGGAGTCACCTCGTTGCTAAATGGACCAGAAAAAGACATCGTAAAGCGCACGACGGTGATAAAAACTCTCGCCAAATTAAAAATTCAGCGATAAGCGGGGATTATAGACGCGGTGCCCTCCCGCGTTATCTTTATAACTGCTTGTATTTGCCGTGTTTCCCGATGTATACGCGTTTTCATGCGGCCAAGGTGCAATCGAAGTGGGATCGCACTGCGTCGAATTAAACGTATACAAGCCGCGTGTTCGAGATAGAAAATAAATTAAGGACTCGTGAATATCACTGGAATACGAGCTTTTTGTGTATTGCATTTATTTCTTTGATACTTGATGAATTGCAGCATGTTTCGAGAATGGCGGTTTCTAATCGATTCAAAATTTAAGAAAATCGGAATAAAGACTCGCTTTAATTCATCCTGCTGGGATTGGGACAAACTTTCTGTTCTGGACCATTACGCGAAGAGACGAATCATTTTAAGGGGTTTGCCAACCCCTCCCATCTCCGCGAACATTTCCTAATCTAGTTCGTTGGCCAAACAAATCTTCAGTTCCACGTAAATCGCTAGAAACCGTTCGCGATCGGTACAGTATCCCTCTTTCGTTTCCCGAATTCATATATGTATTTATGCGTGACTGCATCCCGGTTGACGGGAAAACGATTTCTCGATGACTAGAAACTGTATTCGTTGACCGTAAAATAAAAAAGAGGGGAAAATACAACATGTCCTCTGAGTCAAATGAATTGAAGTCCGAGCGACGTAAATCGCGATATAAAGGAGATGTAACGTTGATTTTACAGTAGACGATAGTTACATTTGTTAAATGCAAAAAATATATATATAAATTGTACCTGTGAAAAATATATACGGAATCGCCCAGTCTGCATCTTGTTGGTTATCTCCTTTATTTTTCGCGTATATTTTTAAAACGTTTAGCGTTTTGAAATTCTCGTCGAGAAAATAAAAATTCAGATTTATAGTATTTAATATACTGTACGGAAAGAACGGTTTTGTTGAAGTGTCTAAAAATTTAGCTGGATACAGAGAGATCCGAAAATAATATTGTTTAGACCATCAAAATAATTATGTAGGGCGCTAAAATGTTAAAACTTTTTGCAGCATTGTCATCAATGTTTAAACGTTTTACTAATTATTTTGATGGTCCAACAAAATCATTTAATAGATCTGTGCATAGCTTAATTTTTAAATACTTTAGCAAAACCGTTCTTTCCGTGCGACAATAAATATTGTACATTTAATTAAACTTTCTGCTTTTGGAGATCCATTATATAACAATTGTAAGAAAAAAGAATAGTGATTCCGTAAGTAAAATGAGAATGTAAAGGTATATAAATTGATAGATCGTAGAATTATAATATAGAATCCATGCTATTATATTTTATCAGCGTCTCATAGAATTCTCTAAAATCTTTTTCTCATCGATTTGCTCTTTCCGTGACGCTTAGTTTGGAAAGAACTGGATTAACATAAAAGCATCTCCTGTTTATGGTCGCACATACCCCGATATATGCGTTCCTCGAAATTTCAACGTCTCGCTGGCGTCTTGTTTTCGTTCGCCCCGTATCAGAAAGTCGTGGCAGCCCTTTTTTCTTTCTGGATACGGATGGGATTGAATTTGTCAAGGCAGTGGTCAAACCACTTTTTAATGTTTCGTAGGAGATTATTTCGCTACCTCTCATGAACGGCCGGTTCGTAACATTATCTTTTCCATCCGAGGCCCGCCCGGTGCAACAATAGTTCTTAAAAGATTACGCGCGTCAATATTTTCTGTCTACGATGTATTGTCGATCTTTTAAAATTCAATAACAAATGTGTGGCGCATATATGTTTTCGAAGTGCTTATACACTGAGAGAAATGATTTTGTTATAGGAACAAATCAAGGAAAAACAAATGTGATATTTGTTAAAAAAACGATCTATTTATTACGATTGCAAATTAATTCGTCAATGTAACAAACAATCAAGTATCGCTAACAAATAAGAGTTCA